TCAGGGGTCAAATCTAAGGCAGGACTTCTGGGAGTCATGTAGGCTACTCTCAGGCGCCTAAGGGCACTTTTGGATGCCAGGGTCATTTTCATACAGAAGCCAGGAGGCTTCTGAGATGGCTAGATTTAAGGCATTGATATTCCAACAGTGTCCCTCTACATTAATTCCACATTGCTTGGGGAAGAAGGTGCTTGGGGAAGATGTCAAACGGCAACTTTTCACTTTTCTATTCATTATCATCTGATTAACATAGACAGGGAAATTTCATGCCTAGGATGCCTGTCTGTGAAAAGCCTGTACAATACAGAGGCAACTCTTTCAGATAAATACAATTCAAATTAAAAAAATGCTTTTGCATAAGAAAAAAACCAGGAAGCTGAACCACATCTACCTAGTAGCACTAGGTCAGGATGATTACTAACACAAGCCAGAGAACCACATGTCCTTGTAGTACCTAGGCATGATGGATGACCTTTACAGCTGGCTAGGAAAAAGTGAGTGATGAGTCAAACCGCCCCTTCCTTGTTTTTACATATATGGGTTGCTTTCCCTTCCTCAGAAAAACCCAGGAGACAGCAAACAGTAACTGGTGTACTGGGGCGTTCTGAGCCAGCAAGCTACAAAGTTAATGGACTGCTTTTTAGGGCATGGTGACCCATAGGAATGAGCAGGAGTAACAGCATGCATCTTTTATAGACTTTGTATTTGGATGGAAATCACATGCCTCTATTATTATATAACTTCAGCAGTATAAGGTGGCGTCTTGCCTGTCTGTTGAGGGCCACCACGCTTCCTCCAAGATTGCATCTGTCCTCTATTTTGTTTTCTCACATACTTGCTCTTCGGTCACTCTCAAGCTCAAATTAGAGTGCTTTTTTCCCTCATTTAAGGAGGAACTGTTCTTTTCTAGATTCATGCAGAAAAACCAGCATATGCATTTGCCTTGCTTTTTTTTTCTGCGTTAATATGTCATGATGCCCATAGCAAAGGTGAGCATAAGGAACGAGTAAGTTTGGACTTTCTGGGAAGGTGTGAAGATACAAATTGTCTCCTCGGAGGTCTTTGCTTTTCAGTTGTATCCAGTCCACACAGGTTACATCAGTATGTGTTTCTGCTAAAGCGTCAGCTTGAGGGATCTGTTACAGAAACAAAAGAGGGTGTTATGTTTCAGGAAAAGATGACAGGAGCAGGGGGAACTCACTACCTTTTATGGTACCGGCAACATTCAAGTTGTGTCCTGTCTTCCATCTGCAGTCTACAGGCCGGGGTACCTCAGCCCCACCAAAACAGAGAATGGTCTTCTAACACGTTACCTTGCTGATCTGACTCTCCTCAAGAACACAGAAAGGGTTGTTTCTGTTGACGCTGTCAACTCCCTGAAGGTATTGAAGAAAGGTACTGAGGTGATTAGAACAGGGTGGGAAGAGGGACAGTTACCAGTCAGAAAAGTGACTGAATTGCCAACTTCCCATAGGAAACACTGCATAGAAGAGAATGAGTAGCAGGGAGAAGGTGAAGTCCTGGTTTTCTTGATGTCTTTCTCTTAAGTTAGTTGCTGAAATCCGTGAGAGGTGCCTGCCACTATTCACATCTCAAAATCTCCTTCAGAAAAGCACTCTAACAAAGAGGGTTCTGTTCACTAGAGAATGTAACTGCTGGTTGTGACTGACAGGCTTTGCTCAATCTCCAAACTCCAGTGGGCTGAGAAGCAATACCAGGTTGAAGGATCTTAGCACCAGGGAGGTGAGAACTACAAAGACAGTGCAGAATATTCTGATTCTCAGGGCTGTTGGTTGTTTGGTGATAGATGCAAAAGATTAGGTTTGACATAATCTTGCTTTACCCCCAAACTTACGAACAAGTGCTGTCAGAAAAGTGGCTGTCACCCAGATTAAGTTTATTAAAGCCACATGAAGAAATAAAACCAAAACAGGTGATCCAAGGTCACCCTGTATTCTTTTCTCAACAGTTGCATTTCAGCTAGAGGAGAACACTAGGCCAAATGAATGTCTGCTGCAAACAAACGTGTTCTCTTTGAAATAAATGCACCCACTTATGCTCTGCCTGCATTAAGTCCGTTACCGGGTTTTTATGAGATTTGGCAAGTGCCGTGATATCTGTTAATATCTGAAGGTGGGAGTGTTCAGGGAGTTGTCTGAAAGGCTTGCAAGACTAGATCTGATCATATCCACCCACACTAATTAACACATTACATAAAAGTACAAGTTTCTCTTTGCAAACATCAGAATCACTTGCCCAGGCATTTTCTGTGAAGTTCTAGAAGAACTACAGGGATGGACTCTGTCACTTTTTAACCTCAACAGAACAATGGATGAGTAGGTAGGGTACAGTTCCCACTTTCAGGGCTCACTCCTTT